TTCTTGTTCTTATGGAAGCCGACAGAAAATGTCCAAAGACCAAACTCAGCCCAAATGTGCCCTTTTGAGCCGAGTAGGAGCAGACTGTCAAGAATAGGCCATCGTCTTCTGGGGGAATCTACCGACGAGCTTCTTCATCACGCGCTTTCACACGAAAAGAACGCCGGCTCGAGCATAAAATAATGGGAAAGTTATTGAAAACTGGCAGTTCTTGGCACATACTTTGGGGTTGTCCAGCCCCTGCTGCTATACGCTCCCCCCACCAAATCGAGACTCGAGCAGTATCAAAACTAGTTTCAAAATGACTAACCTTTCAATAAGATTCCAACTGTGTCAGTGTAAAATAGGGCCGTGCTATGGTGTGTAGCATGTAGTTTGGCCTCGCTGGGTCTCATCAGCACCCTAACGAGAATCCAAATCGGGTCGTTAGTCTTAAGCTGCAAAAGGTTACTTCGGATCAGAGGCCAAGTAAAACTTTAGGGGCAAGCCAAAACTACATTTTAGACGAATTGGTATCTAAAAAGCACTTGACTACGTTACTTAGTTTCGATATGAATATGTCTCACAATTATCAATAATCACTGAATAGCAACCTTCATCACATTCAAGATTTACTGATAGTCTCGAAATACTACTCACAACGAATACAAGTAACGATATCAACTGTACCAGAAAATACATGTTTGCCTTAACGACGATCCCAGTATAGAAAAATTTGTTATGAGAGGCTTAACATTTAGAAATTTTACACTGCACTACCAGAGTCCTAGCCCCGTTGAGGGAGTTCTGATGAGACTCCGGTGATGTCGAAAATGCAGCCTTATTTAGCCTGGATAAGACTACTTTCAGCGTCATCCTTAGGCTTGCTCTTCTCCTTGTGGGGGAAGTTACAATCACTGATGATCGCCCTAGGCAATCTAGGATCAAGACCTACTGATTATCTCAAAATCATATCCAAATTAAAAATAATAACATACTCACCTTAGGTTGTTTAAGGCTATTTAAGGATTGATAGTTGAATTTTCACACAACAATATGAGTTGGCCTCACGATACCATCGAATTTCATTCAGTCTACCTACTTAATTCAGTTGTTATTCAAGCATTCTTAGAAGTTGCGAAGCTTACTCATGCAGGATATAAGTAATGTCATCAATTGTAATGACCAATAATTGTTTGTATAAGTGAAATGTGATTTTAGAGAGGACTGGCTTGCCCGGTCCTTACGGAGACTTGCGATTGTGCAACCACTTTACGCGCATGACTCCGCTCCGCATAACATCGTGGTCGCTGAGTGGACTTTGGCTCAGTCGAATCTTCAGTCCAGTTACTCTACATCACTTTCAGGCCATTAAGTAGATGATAGAAAGTCTTGTCTGCAATGATATAAGTGGCTCTTACGGCACCATGAGGCCTAGTTATAGCATTGTGGACAAGACTTTACCATCATTCCGCAAATGACCTGAAAGTGACGTAGGATGACAGAATTATTTTTTAAGGAATTAATAGTAATTTCTAAATACATTCATCCTGAAAATAGACACAGACTTGCTGGACCCTTCTACCAGAAATCTCTTTAGCAATATTCTGCCCCTTACTTCACCGATTGAGTAGAACTAGCTTTCAAATCATCCAATTTTGTACAACCTGTTACCCTAGTCAAGATTTTGGCTATGCATATTGAATTACACACTTTTAATTATATCACCGGAATGTTGTGCAGAATATGGAAACCATGGGGCTCAACAACTGCTCCGCCCGGTCCTGTTTCGGTACCTTCAATCGACCTCCAGCTGTCTGTGGTTGACCAACAGGGTGCTCCGGTGTCTCGAATCGGTGAGGCTACTCCGGTCAGGCTCAACGCTCGGCTCGTCGACACAACGGGTAGGAAGTTTCAAAATGTCCCTTCCGTCATTTGTCCAGACTGGTAGAATGGATTTGACTAATGATTGAATAAGCTATTTCTGCAGGAAGTGGTTGAAAATGTATCGTTATAGACTCAACGAAAGTGCAAAGTCAACTACATGAAGATTTT